TCTTCTTCTTCTTCTTCTTCTTCTTCTTCTTCTTCTTCTTCTTCTTCTTCTTCTTCTTCTTCTTCTTCTTCTTCTTCTTCTTCTTCTTCTTCTGTCAGTAGGGTTCAAACAGAGGAGGAAAATAGAGTTAATTTTTATTTTTAACTACAACAACATGGGATGTCTCAAACACAGAAACACATTGTTCCTTATACTTGAACTTATGAACCCAGGCTGCTTCCTTCATAGATGCAGCGTCCTCTTTTTGTCAGATTGACTGCGCTTTCTCTCTCTCTCTCTCTCTCTCTTTCTCTCTCTCTCTCTCTCTCCTTCTTTCCAACTGCCGGTCTTCAGCTGCCGGCCTCCGCCAACGTTCTGTCAGCCCCCCACTGAAAAATACTTCCACTTCCCCCCAGGCCAATTATTTCCCAGCATTCTGATATCCGAAACACACTTAAATTTCTGAATTAAAATTGGATGCAGATTTCACACTCACATCTTAAAACAATTACTTCTGTAGAGGAAGCTCTCCTGAGAGGGGTGCGTGAGTAATTGATCTGAGCTTGCTACCTGATCCGAGGGCCACCGCCTTGGCCAGGGTATCATTCGGCTTGGTCTCTGCTTTAGGATTACGCAGGTGATCTGCCCACACACCCGAGGCAGAGATGTGGCAGAATTATTCTGTCCCCACAGCAAAGACGAATGCTAGAACAGAAGGATCAGACCAGTGAATCACTCAGAGACACAGTGGACAGTCTCCCCTGTGAGTGTTTTGCTTTGGAGCATTCTGTCAATTTATTTTCTCATTGCGTACATTTCATAAATGACCATGCTAACCTCTGCTATTGGAGGAGAAGGTTATTATTAGTGGGAAATGTGAATGATGAAATTTGAAAATTTCTAATTGAAAAAACCCTTTTAATTATGCGTTGTTGTTTATATAATGCTGTCAGTGTGTCTGACACTTTACAGGGTAGCATTCAAGAAGGCACATACCTTTCCCAAGGAGCTTACTGGCTAAAGTAGGGGAGGCTCCAAAGGGACGATAGAGAGATGGAGTCGAGGGTTACCAGGGGAAGAATGCACATTCAAATCAGTTGCCCGCATTTGGATTCCAGTAGGGGATATGTATTCATCTTCAGTACGAGTTCATATGAAAACAAGGCTGGTCAATCCAATTATATCCAACACTGGGATACTTAACACAGTTTATAACATGTATACAAGCAGCATAGCCCCTGGAACAAGACACCAAGTATTGGATTCATCTTTGATAACATTTATCTTGCTCAAATTGTTTTTCCGATAATTTATTTCCCAGTACGGCGTGCATTTCTGAAGAATGACAAGTTGTGTGTGTTAATGTATTGAATTCTTCCCTTCCCTAAATCTAATATGGTGTGTCAGCTTCGATAAATCTATGGAGAGCCAGTGCTTATTTATCCACCGCTGAACTGGGATGGGAAATGGAAATTTTAGCTGCTGCCGTGTCTCAGTGCCCACGGAATGTCCCTGCTGTCCCCCCCCCAAGGCCTCGGGGGTAATTAGAGAGAGAACAGTTCAGAGGCCAGCGGCTCCGGCTTCCCTGCCTACCCAAGATTCCCTGCCACTTTCTTCTGCCTGTTGAGTCCCAGTGGAGCCTTTAAAACTCCCAGAGAGTCACCTGGCTACTTTCAACTCGACAGATGTAAGGTGTGACTGGGCTACAGGCTCTGGCATTTTAATTCCCAGGTGTAAAGAGTATTGTCGCCGTTTGGAGGGGTCCAGCCCCTGTTTTGCCCTACTTTTCCTTCTCACCCCTACCACCCTGGGTAAAATTCAGCCCCTGTCCCTCGTGGGATCACCTGAGATCGAAGCCGCAGGGGTATCGTTTTCAAAACTCCCAGCAAGTCACCTGGCTTCTTTCAATGCGACAGATGTAAGGTGTGACTAGGCTACAGGCTCTGGCATTTAATTCCCATGTGTAAAGAGCATTGTCACCATTTGGAGGGGTCCAGCCCCTGTTTTGCCCCACTTTTCCTTCTCACCCCTACCACCCTGGGTAAAATTCAGCCCCTGTCCCTCGTGGGATCACCTGAGATCGAAGCCGCAGGGGTATCGTTTTAGCATGCCAAGTAGCTAAGGCAGGCGAGTAAGGAAGTGTGCAGACTCTCTCTAATTTACTTATTTGTTCAGTTTATACCCCGCCCTCCCCACCAAGGCAGGCTCAGGGCGGCTTACATAACATTCATATCAATACGATGAAAACAGTTACAAATAACATCATCATAAAGTGGTTAAGACGCTGAACTGCAGGCTGTGGAAGGTTGGTAGTTCAGCAGTTCGAGACCCGAGTGTGCTGCATGACGGAGTGAGCTCCCGTCTCTAGTTCCAGCTCCTGCCAACCTAGCAGTTCGAAAGCAAGAAATTGCAAGTAGATAAATAGGTACCACTTCGGTGGGAAGGTAACAGCATTCCGTGAGCCTTGGTGTTTAGTCATGCCGGCCACATGACCACGGAAACGTCTTCGGACAGCGCTGGCTCTTCGGCTTTGAAACGGAGATGAGCACCGCAACCATAGAGTCGGACTCGACTGGCTTTCGAGCAAGGGAACCTTTACCTTTTACTTTAAAGTAACCTAACATTTGATTGATTGATTGATTGAATTTTTACCCCGCCCTCCCGGCCAAGGCCGGCTCAGGGGGGCTTCCATAAAAACAACATAAATTTACAATAGTATAGAATAAAATTAAACAGCATAAATTAATACAAGTAACAATTCTAAAACCATAAAACATAATAAAGTGCTAGTGGCGATGATTTCACAGCGGTTGTTGTTGCTTAGTTCTCTCATCTCACATTCGGCTCCTTGATCTTCTTTATCTCTCTAGTTAACTTTATCTCTACAAGGCACAAACTCAGGGAACTACAAGGACAGATCTAGGTGCACTAAGCCAAATAAACAAAAGGAAGGTTACTAACTAGGTACTTCCAATCTATGGCATACCTGGTCTTTGTTGCTTGCATGATGCCCCCCACCAGGCACACATTCCCTTCAGTCACCCTTCTTCATAGCCAGTGCGCACAGGCTCTAGCTATTGGGGGGGGGGAATGTGCAGATTTGCCCTCACAGAGGAGGGAGAGCTTGTACCTGAAGGCAGGCGGCGGGGGGGGCTCTGCAACTTACCCAGCTGCTTCTTGCTCTTTGTGGCCCGACTGAGGGTTGCTGGGAGCAGGGGGTGGGGCTTGTTGCATGGGCCCGCCCCCTGGGCTCCTTACTGCCGGAGCTCCGCTCCTGTGCGCTCCCACAGGAAACGACCCCTGTCCACCGCAGAAGCAAAGTAAAAAGACACCAGGGAAAGTCCAGTAGCAAACGGGTTGCTACAGGCCACGGACGGACTTTCCCCTGTCTGATCACCGCAGCACACTCTCGTGGTGTCGGGATGGTCTGATCAGGCCATCCCGACTCCGTGCCGTTGTCCCCGCCCTCTCAGTATGCGCATCATCGCACACTCCATAGGGAGCCCTCAGTGCTGAGATGTGATTCATTGATTCCCCGTTTAAGCTCATTGGGAACAAACTGCAAAACCCCCCAAAAACCTGACTCATCCGTGGTTGCATCTGATCATCCGGTGGCAGGCTGCCCCCGCAGCTTCAAAGGACTGTGTGACCGCGCAGCTGCGGGTCAAGTTCCTCTGGGGAAAATAGCCTCACTTCCCCCACACACGTTATCTAATGCAAGGAATTGCAAGTAGATAAATAGGTACCACTTCAGTGGGAAGGTAACAGCGTTCCGTGCGCCTTGATGTTTAGCCATGCCGGCCACATGACCACGGAAGTGTCTTTGGACAGCGCTGGCTCTTCGGCTTGAAAACGGAGATGAGCACCGCAACCCTAGAGTCGGATTCGACTCGCTTTCAAGCAAGGGAACCTTTACCTTTTACCACCCTAGTGTGTTTTCTCCACTGGTCGTAAAGGGTGCTCTCTATCTGGAGAAGACCACCTTTCCCACATTCTACCAGTCACGGAGATGAAATTGTGCCCTTCCGTCACAGCTAACGGCCACAGCGGCTCTTGTGCCTCTGCCTCTCGCGATCTGAATTGTGGTTGTGGCCTCTCGGGCTTCAAAAAAACTGGATTTTGACAAGACATTTGAGCGGTGAGATGTTGTTTCAGCTGACATGACAAAACGTGCACGGACCTTCTCAGGCTTTTGTCACCCAGATTCGGCACTGGTATGCAAATCTGAATTTTTGCACAAGTATAATTTCAAAATGCAATCACTGATGCCGTTGAGATTTAGCAAGTTAAAAGGTGAGAAGTGTGTAGGAAGGAGGCTAAGGTAAACCATCTCCCCTGCCCTCCTGCTTTTCTATGTGCATGAGCTTTTTTTTTGTCATGAGAGAACATTCAAAGACACATCCCCTCCCCTTGACCACCCCCACACATCAGATTAGAACCATCCAGGAAAAAGCTCTGTTGCCAACTGCGTATAACACCAAGTCACTTGCCAGTCTGACCTTCTGACCATCACACCCTTCTTCTCTGACAGAGGAACTGCAGGCCCTGGTGAAGAAGTTCCCAGGGGATCGTTTTTGGAACATCACAGCAATCTCTCAGTACTGGGCCATGGACCTCGATATTCAGCATCGCTATCAGAAGCTAAGCACCACCTTGAAGATTCTGTCCAAGAAGACCCACCGAATCGTCCGGCGCCTCTTCAACCTGGCCAAACGCTGTCGCCGCCAGCCACGCTTCCGACTTCTGAAGGAGAGGTCTGGTATACTCCAAGCAGCGCTCTGGGGCCGCATTCCAGTTCAGGGCTTTATCCCCACTGGCTTCATCGGGCATAAGCATGCCTAACCTGTGTTGGATTGTGGCCTTTTGTGGCTCTGTGTGGGGAACATTTTTTGCAAGGAGTCTGATGTCTCATTTAGGATTTGGAACCCACAGAACGTTCCAGTGCAGCCCTAGGCAGAGTCAAGCCCTTCTAAGCCCATTGACTTCAGTGGTCATGGAAGGGTCCGCTTCTGCTTAGGGCTGCACAGCCGAGACTGTTCTTTGTGTTATGCAGAATGAGAGGGCAGTGTTCTAGGCTGCAGCCACACCTAGTCAAAGATCACATTATTGGTGCTTGGTAGCGATCATTTATAACTGGATAACATGGAACGGACAAATGAATAAGAGCCAGTTTGGTGTAGTGGTTAGGGGCGCGGACTCTAATCTGGGAGAACCGGGTTTGATTCCCCACTCCTCCACATGCAGGTGTGACCTTGGGTCAGTCACGGGTTCTCTCACGAGCAGTTCTCGAAAGAGCTCTCTCAGCCCCACCTACCTCACAGGGTGTCTGTTGTGGGGAGGGGAAGGGAAAGGAGATTGTAAGCCACTCTGAGACTCCTTCGGGTAGTGAAGGGCGGGGGATAAATCCAGTCTCCGCCTCCCTCCTTCAACATTTAACAAATAATGCCAGAATATTCACTTGGTATTTGGTGTGTAATTTAATACCTGATAATTTGATCCCAGTATCTATTTAACAGTGGACAACGGAATTCACATTTCAAATAGGGATTTCCACATTTCTGTCCTGCCAAATGTCAAATAAATGCAAAAATCCCTTTTAGTTTGAATCAGGTCTGTGTGGAAAAGTAAGCAGACGTGGATTAATTCTAGCTTGCTCGCATGGTTTTCCAATCAAGGCAATGTATTTGAGCAATACTGAGTCTTCCTTTTAGAGACGGGGAAAGAAACACTGAGTATGAACAGCCCCGGGTATGTTTTGGCATGACTGAAATTGAGTTTCCTTCTCTTTCCTCTCATAGGCCTTTGACCTATTGGTGGAGCCGCGTCCAGTCCCTCCTGTACTGCAGCGAGACTGCCGCGCCAGGGACTTTTGTGGAGGAAAGTCATAGTTGCACCTGCCCTCACGACCAGCTCTCCTGCCAGGGGATCATCCCATGTGCCTTGGGTGACGGGCCGGAATGTGCTGCCTGCGCAGAGGACAACGCCACCCAGTGCGGGGCCTGCAACCCTGGTTATGTGCTAACCCTAGGGCTGTGCCGGCCGGAGGTGGCCGAGTCCCTAGAGCACTATTTAGGGCTGGAGACAGACCTTCAGGACCTGGAGCTCAAGTACCTCCTGCAGAAGCGGGACAGCCGGATCGAGGTGCACTCCATCTTCATCAGCAACGACATGCGCCTCGGGACCTGGTTTGACCCTTCCTGGAGGAAAAGGATGCTGGTGACCCTGAAGAGCAACAAGTATAAACCAGGCTTGGTCCATCTCATGCTTGCGCTCTCCCTCCAGATCTGTCTCACCAAGAACAGCACCCTGGAGCCGGTGATGGCCATCTACGTCAACCCCTTTGGGGGTAGCCATTCCGAGAGCTGGTTCATGCCCACCAACGAGAGCGGCTTTCCCGACTGGGAAAGGACTAATGTGGATGCTTCTGGGCAGTGCCAAAATTGGACGCTCTCTTTAGGCAACAAGTGGAAGACCTTCTTCGAGACAGTCCATGTTTACCTGAGGAGCCGCATCAAGTCTCTCAACGACAGCTCCAATGAGACCATCTTCTACGAGCCCCTGGACATGGACCCCTCTAAGAACTTGGGGTACATGAGGATCAACAGCTTACAGGTCTTTGGCTACAGCCTACCCTTTGAGTCGGATGCCATCCGGGACCTTGTCCTTCAGCTGGATTACCCGTATACCCAAGGGTCTCAAGATTCTGCCATACTGCAGTTGATTGAAATCCGGGACCGGGTCAACCGTCTCTCCCCGCCTGGGAAAACTCGCCTTGACCTTTTCTCCTGCTTGCTCCGGCACAGGCTCAAGTTGGCCAACAACGAGGTGAGTCGGATCCAGTCTACCCTGCAGGCCTTCAACGCCAGACTGCCAAACCCCGTGGAGTACGAGACTGGCAAACTGTGCAGCTAGCAACCGGGGGTGGGGCAGGGCTGGTGTTGCGTAACCCTGGAGGGAAGAGTGGTGGAGACTTCCAAAGGCCTTACTTTCGTGCCAGCTGTGCAATTCTGGGAGGGGGGGGCAGACGTTGGCCAGCCTCCAAGACTTTGGCGTTCAGAGGCTGCAGAGCCCCAAGTCCAGGCATGAGATGTGGCACAAATCTACGGAATGATGGGCCGGGGCTACGGTATCTGGCCGCAGTGGCTGAACAGGCTGCTTCATTTCCCTTGCCTGCAGGCAACTGTTGGGGAGCATGGCAGAAAATGTACAGGCACACGCGAGCGGACCAGACCATGGTGACACAGAGCGGGGAGAGAGAGAGGTGACTGATGGGAAACTGGTGGGAGTGGCAATTAAGACTCGGCTTTTGTGATGTGTCCTCTTGGCCAGGAAGTCTTTCTAACAGAGATGAAGAGCAATGGGGGGGGGTTGGACGCGACTGATTCAAGTGCTTTGAAAAATGTTCACTGAGGAGGATTTCTCTGTGGCCCTTCACCTCCCGCGGTGCAGTTCACTTTTGTATTGTTTTTATGAGTGTTTCTAACAATGTCATCGCCTTTTATGTTCTCTGTGCTGCTTTTTCTAAGGCTGCAAACCCAACCCCCCCCCCAGCACATTTTCCTGGAAGTCGGCTCTGCTGATTATCTGTGGGAGCCCCTCCTCCCAGGGGAAATGTGATGATAAAGAACAGGGTGTCAAATCTTTTTTTGATTTCTGCTGCCTTCCACTGCACAGTTCTGCTTGGCACTCTAATCCCGTTCCTTTTGGGATGAGATGTCTTTGGTGCTGAATGAATGGAGGTCGATGAGACAAGCCAGGTGTGGCTCAGTTGTCCCTTTCTCCCATCCGTATCTCAAGAAACACATCTCCCTTTTCCGCACCAGACATGCCCCATGATCCTGTCACACTCAACTGACTTGGGGGGGAGGGGACAGGGACAAAAGGCATCCTCTTCCCCCACTGAGCATCTCTAGTGAGACACGGGCCCGTTCTGGTTAAAAGTATGTTTGGAACCAGTGGGAGATTGGCCTTGCAAGCATTTCTTTACTTATGCATTGGTTTAATTGAGTGACTTTTCTTTTTCCTTTAAATTACTTTTGCATTTTTAAAAAACCTTTGGAGTGGAATGCTTACTGCCGGTTGATTGCTCCAGCTGAGTTCCATCTTAGCCAAATGTCTTTGTTTTAATATATTTTGTAAGGAGGGGCGGGTTATAACATTTTTTTTGAGAAAAAAAAGGAAAGAAGTAAATGATCAAAAGCCTTCTCATGACTTTCTTAATAAATACTCTGTGTGTGTGTGTGTGTGTGTGCGTACACATGTATGGAGAGTCCAGTGTTCCCTCTAAGCCCCACAATGCTGTGAGCAAAAATTCTACCTCATGAGTGAAAAAAATCTAGTAGCATTAAAGTTGTGAGCGAGTCTGCGTTCGACTGTCGCGTAAATTAGTTTTTTAGAAGATAATTTCCATAACCTTGTAAAAATCTCAGAATTTTAAGAATAATTTAGACATTATAGGAGAAAACAGAATCAAGTCAAATTTCATTACAGAAAATGTTGTCCTCCATGGTGGGGGTAGACCAGGCCTCTGGAGAACAGGTCCACTTGCCCCTTTCCACTATATTGGTAGACCTGGCCTCCGGAGAACAGCTCTACTATATTGGTAGGTCTGGCCTTGGACTGTCGCCCTGCACTGAGCCTTTGAAAACATACCAGCACTTGGGGGGGGGGGCCCCTTGCAGTCTGCTTGGTTTTGTTTTGTTTTGTTTGTGAAATATGACAAAATAAATATAAGACAGTGTCTTATTTTCAGGGAAACACAGTACTATATTGGTAGGTCTGGCTTTGGACCGTCACCCTGCACTGAGCCTTAGAAAACATACCAGCACTTGGGGGGGGGGGACTCTTGCAGTCTGCTTGGTTTTGTTTTGTTAGTGAAATATGACAACCAGCATTACAGGTCAAGTATAGCAGAGGTGGAACAATCACAATCAGAACCCTGCCTAACCTAACAAACAGGAAGTTGCTTAAATGTACTCAACCTACCAAAACTACTTATTTATTCAAATATTTATATCCCATATTTTTATATCCTGCTTACAAATCATACTGAAAAGCATAATAGTGGTGTGCAATTTTTTTTATTATTTCCAGCTCCATTATAGCCTATGGAAAATCAATCTGGGGGTATCAGGGGCTATGGGGAGGCTACGTTTTGAGATGGAGGCACCAAATTTCCCACATAACTGCTGGTGCCTCTCCTCAAAAACCCTGCCAAGTTTCAAAAAGATTAGACTAGGGGGTCCAATTCTGTGGGCCCCAGAAGGAGGTGCCTCCATCCTTCATTGTTTCCATTGGCGGGAAAAATGTCTTCTCAGTTCACTTGTAGGCTGAAGCAAAAATCTTTGTGCTGACAGCTAAAATTTTGTGCACCAGCACCCCTTAGCGCAGCTTAGAGAGAAATTTGGTGGAGACCCCGTGGGTGCAAAGATATAAGAGTAGTGTTTACATTCATGCTTTCCAGTGGTGATAGAGTACTCCATTAGTTACTTTAGTGGTGACGTATGTCACTGCCTTCTCAACTGGCAGTGAGGACAGTGCAGAAGTGAATTATTTTACCGCCGGAGTAAGCTATTGTTTTCTGAGAAATGCCATTGGCCAGGGTAGGGATCTAGAGTGTCGCTTGTTTGTGTGCACAGTAAAGAGATGTAAAAATGGTAAAAGGCATTAGATAAAGAGAGTCTCCTTGCATAAACAAAGACTCCCACCTTTCTTCCATGAGCCCAAGTTGGATACAGTTGCAAGAGACTTAAGCGCTTAAGAGCGGATGTGCTGGACCAGACCAGTAGCCCTTCTGGTCTAGCATCCTGTTTCACAGAGGGGCTAACCAGATGCAGGCCTGTCCCATGTCATTTTGCCACCCCAAGCACCATTGCAGCCCACCCTGGATCTGAGCAACATCATAATGCGGTCTATGAAGTGATGCCAGGTGTGAGCCATAGCCCTTCCTTCCTCTCATGTTGCTGCCCTCCCTAAGTTGGTGCTCTAAGTGGCCACTTGGGTTACTTGGTTGGTGAACCAGCTCTGACCGGATGCCCCCTGGAAGGCCCCCCCTTATTCCCGCCCCCCCCAACTCTGTTATTCAGAGCCTTCTTGACATGCTGATTTCTTGACATGCTGATTCCCTTTAGTCATCGTGGCTAATCACCAGTGAACGACCTCCCCTCCTACCCAATGCCCTTTAAAGCCAACTGAACCGACGGCCACCAGCACTTCCAGCAGCAGCCGATTCCACAAGAGAGCCACCCCTTGACTGAAGCAGGACTTCTTTCTGTTTGTCTCCCCACAACCATCCGGTGACCTCTCCGCACAAGGAAAGAAAGTGTTTGTTTAACAGCCGTCTCAAGACAACCGGTGGGCTCTGGGATCAGACGTGAATGGGGCTCATGAGGACAGCTCCTCTGACCTTCCGGTTCTGGCGCAGCACCTTTCCTAGCTCCAGCAGGCTCTCCTGTCCCTCCCTCTCCTCGTTCAGCCTCACCCACTGCCCTGTGCCGCTCTTAGCTTGTCTCCATCCCAACCTGCAAGCGAAGCCCCCTTTCCACGGTGCCTTGCGCCCAGCCCAGCCCCCTTCCCTCGGGGCTCATTAACCGTCACTTAGGCATCCTCTGAGATCGCTCTCTCATGGCCTCAGCTTTCCGTGTGTTCCTTTTCCCTCTGGGTCTCCCGATTCAACAGAATAAAATTCTCCAACATGATATTTCGGGGGGGGGGGAGGATCTTTCTGCTGATGTAGTAAAATCAGCTCTGCCTCTTTTCATCCATCCCCCCCCACCTGATCCTTGCCTAGAGAACCGTCTAGGATTGCCTGACCCTTCCATAATTAGTAGCCACACTACCTAGATGGAGCCTCAGTGGCCAGAGGCATTGTATCTCTGAATGCCGGGTGGCAGGGCAGATGTGTGCCGGAGGGTCGTTATCTGCCTGCCCTTCTTATACATTTTGTAAAGGCATCTGCCTTGGTTAGAAACAGGTTGCTGGA